CCAATGGTCTACATTTTACCATATATCCCATTTTCCTGATTTTTAAATTTTTTTTGGTTATTCAACAAAAAAAAACTTTATATTTAAAACAAGTTTTAAAAAAAAATTAAAATATCTTTGATATTTGTGAGTCGGCCACAGACACCAACAAAATAAACAGACTTTAAAGTTGACTTAATCCTTTTTTTTGACATCACTGGTTGACTTAAGACCAGTAATAATATAATTCATCTGTATCAAATTAGATGATTTTTTAAAGATTTGTTTTTGTATTAAATTATATGATTTTTTGAGTTTTCATGACAAAATTAAATGCATTTTTATTTATTTTGACTATTTGTATTTTGCAGTTTGATTTGCTATTGATTGAATTATATTTAATTGAATGATAAATGATGTTTTAATTTAGAAAAACTAAAAAAAGTAATTTTTTTTTAATCTATGTATAACATCCTTAAAAATTATTTAAAATAATACAGAGAGAGTATGATTTATTATATAAAAGATTCATTAAGAAACAAGAAAATGTTTGACAAAAAAAATGAAACAAAAATCTGAAAAGCCTTTGAAAAACAAGATGGTCATCGTTATAAAAAAAAAAAAAACCAAAACTATCGCACTTGGTCAGCCTTCATAATAATATGTGTGATTGACGTTACAGTTGTACTAGATTTTAGGCCATGCCAAGCGTGGGATTAAATAATTAAATATTTTTTTAATCGATTTTAATATTTAAATGTGTGTGACAAAACCTATGATTTCTAATATTTATAAACTTACAAAAATGATATGCATTATAAATATAATAAAGTTAAATTTTGATCAAGCATGTTTTGATGTCATAGTTTTAACATTTTTATGTACAAAATTGATAAAAACATATGAAAATGTTATTTATTTCAATATATTTTTAACTGTAAAATTATTTTTTATTATTCGTGTAAATTATAAAGCATGCAGTAAATAAAATTTTTTTTTTGGTCACATGCAGTAAATCAGATAAATTTTAGATTTATATGATTTGTCGGACATAGCAAACGAAAAACAATATATGTTTTCCAATAATGAA